GCAAAACGTTAAACGGTTCCCAGCGACTGCATGCGCCAGGGAGGCTCAACCCCGCAGGATGAGCTGCCCTCCCCCTGTAGAAGCGCCCCTCCTCTGGGCCCCTCCTTTCCTGGGTCACAGACTGTGACCAAGTCTTATTGCCTGTCTCTGGGAATTCATTTCCTGTCTCTCCTCTGTTCCACCTCTCCGGGGCTCCCCAGCCCCCCCCCGGCCCCCCAGCCGCGTGCCCCCTCACGTTTGCCAGGCAGCTGGCTGCCTTCATTATTTTTACGCCAACACAGTTTAAAAATCTCCGCTGCCTCCTTGCTGTCTGCAGAGACGCGGCTGCCACACGGCTCTGACATCCCGGTGTCATTAGGGCCCACGCAGCCTCTCCTCGGCTAATGAGGCGGCAGAAAGAAAATTAAGGGGGAAAATCACACAGGCACATTGCTCTATATGTAGATGGAGAAATAAAACAAGAGCAAGGAAAACAGAGGTGCGCTCTCTGCAACAGCCCCCCTCCCTCCTCCCGCCGGGACCCAGCTCTGTGAAGACAGGAAATGGGGGCTGGTTTTTGGCTACTGCTACCCCGGGGTTCTCCCACTAAACGTCTGGTGCAGCTGGGAGTCTGGTGAGGTCACGTCACCTCATTCTGTAATTAGGTAAAAAGAAAACACAAAAGGGGCGCCTGGGTGGCTCAGTCGGTTAAGCATCCGACTTCGGCTCAGGTCATGATCTCCAGGTTTGTGAGTTCGAGCCCCGCCTCGGGCTCTGTGCTGACAGCTCAGAGCCTGGAGCCTGCTTCCGATTCTGTGTCTCCCCCTCTCTCTGGCCCTCTCATGATCATGCTCTGTCACTCTCTGTCTCTCGATGATAAATAAACATTAAAAAAAAAAAAGAAAACACAAAAACTTTAGGCCCATACTTTCAGCATGGTCAGTGCCCAGAACGTGAGTCAAGGCCAGAGATTCGCACACATTTCTAGAATCTGCCATCCCACCACCAACCTTCTCTCCCCTTGTTCAAGCTACCTGCATGCCTCATGTGGATTCTCCACCAGTGCCCTACCCTGGCCTGGCACGTTCTCTATACTCGAGCTGAAAAATCATCCCAAATACTCATTTGATCCGGTCGCCTCTCCTGCTTAACATGATGCAATACGTTCCCATTGTTCTCAAGACAAAGGTGAAAACCCTTAACCCTTAAAGCCCCTGCCTCTTCCTCCCTCTTGCCAGCTCCTCCTAGCTGCTGGGTCGTCTTTCAACTGTACACACTGCAGTGCTCCGTCCGCCCCAGGACATTTGCCCGTGCTGTTCCTTCTGCCTGGAATGGTCTCTCCTTTATCCTTTACATGGCGGAGTCTTTAGCCTTCAGGTCTAGGCTCACTCCGCACCTGCTTGGGGAGCCTCTCGCCCCACCCCCGACCCCAGCCAGGCCAGGTCCCCTTTTTGGCACTTTCAAGGTATCGCGGGGCCTTGGTTTAGCAGCTCTTTCACTGCGGTAACTTCACCTTGAGTGTGTAGTTGTCTGAGTCAAGGCTGTCCTCCACCCCTGTGATGCGCAGCTCTGTGAGGGCAGGAAACATAGATGCCACGGCTCAACATCAACTCCAACACGGAGCACGGCACTTCCCTGAAATGCCTGCTGAGTGAATGAGAGCTTAAGGGCTGCCTGTGGGAATCACAGCCTGGGTCTGCGGTTTGGGGGAGCTCGCACGTTGCCGATGCCGTCCCTGTGCTTCCCCGGCTTCTGGGCTGAGTCTGAATGATTGAGACGGCCCGGCTCAGGGGCACAAGGAGAGAGAGAGACGGGAGCCAAGCCCTTGATCCCAGACCAGGCCTCATGCAACCGACAGTGAACTGGCGAGGGCTGCAGAACAAGTCAGGTCCGCAGGCGTGTGTTTCTCTGCCCTCCTGCCCTGCGCTCCGGCGGGCCGGGCCCCACCTACCCTGGAGCCTTCCAGAATCCGAACCTGCCTGCAGCCCCGACGTCTGACTCTGGTGTTAACTAGCGGGCAGCCGGGCAGAAAGGCCTGGCACTGTCAACACGCTTGCCTCCTATGCTGTGACACCACTTTGATTTTCGGGGCAGAGCACTGCGCGCGGCTCGGATGGATGCTTCGCGTCCGCCTGCCGCGGCGCCGGCGTCTTTGTCTGGGCACGGGGGAGCTGTGATTTATGTCATAAGCTCGCTGTGAAACCTTTGCCTCAGTAATTCTGAGCTCCGTGGGTGTCTCTTTACATCTATTTAAAGCACGGCTGCTGCCCACGGACGGCGTGCTCTGTGACATTCCCGGGTGCCTCTGTGTCCGCCCCGCCGTGGCGAGGAGTCTTGCCTGCAGAGTCGCTGCAGCGTTTGCTGCACACTCCACGAGTCTGCCGAGCGGAGTCGGGTCTGTCCCTTTGATGTCCTGCGTGGTGATTAGACCCCGTCCCCCGCGGACCACTGGCAGGGGCCTGGCTGCAGGCGCCTGCTGCTTCCGGAGTTCGCCCTGTTTGTCCCGGGGCAAGGCCACAACATGGGCGCCTGTTAGCTTTGCTTCGAGGCCTCTCAGCGGGGTGGTGAATGCGATCCCCTCTGAAACCTGTCCTTGACCGCGGTGCCCGGGGCTGGTGGCTGTGGAGCCCGTCAGCGCTCCTTCATGGGGCGTCCCCTCGAGTCGTGGGGAACCTCAGCGCACAGAAGTCAGATCCCCATCTCCCAAGACTGACCCCGTGGGCGGCTGCGCCCCGGAGATGCCGGCGTCCCCTTCATTCATTCTTCAAACACGGACTGAAGATTTGCAGGTGCAGGTGAAGTGGTCCGCGCAGGGGAGGCCACGGTGTTGATGCTTTTTTTGTGAATGCCTCCATGTGTTAAGATTTCTCAAGGAAGCTCCAATTCCTTCCCAAATGGAGTGAAATTGCAGACAGACTGTCTCTTCGAGGAGCCAAGAACTTCCCAGGGCCTTTTGATTCCCTGCTCTCACAGACGGCCTCCACCTTCAAACCCACCTGCAGCTGGCAGCCTGCAGCCCCACTGACGTGCTGTATTTCTGTGGGGCTGACGGACTGGGGGGGGGCGGATCCCAGGATAGGGCCCCTTGAAGCCCAGAGGGGAGGCACTGTGCCCCGTTCTGCATCTCAAGGTCAAGGTAGAGTACTTCTGACAGCTCTGTAGACAGAGTTCAGGGGCCAGAGGCCTTGCCCCCAGGGGCGAGGTCGGTGGGGTTGTGCCCAGGACTTGGAAACCTGCAAAGATTGCCTGATTCCAACACTACCAAAGGACTAGTACTGGCCACTACTGAAATATTGAGACATGTAGACCTTTTTTTTTTCTTTTAAAGCATTTGCCACAAATATTTTTCACTTTTGGCCCATCACGTAAAGTCACTTCTTCTGTCTTGTTTGTTTCTTGCTCCTTCTTCATGCAATTTCATGCCACGAGGGCTGAAGCATCCTCCTTTAATGCAAACGCAGCGTGAATTGGAAGGGCAGCAGGTGGGTCTTGTTTCCGTGTTATTGGTCGATGAACTAAGGCCAACATTACAATGTAGATGATGACTCAGGTAAGTGTTATGGAAAATAAAAGTGCGGGTGTTCCTTCGCTTTCAAGAGCCTGTCGTACTGAAATCCTGCAACAGTGGGTGCCGTGAGAGAATTACTTGGCACCGTGACGGTGAGGCGCAGAAACACTCAGGGAGTCGAGTGGGTGGGTTTTCCACGTTTCACCTATGTTTTGCTAGACACACTTTCCTCTGGGTGCATCTACGCTGCAGAGTTGGCATTTGCGAGAAATGTGTGAATTTCACTATTCCAGCCCACCCAGAGGACTGTCCTTTAAAAGTAGTAGCTTTTCAGCTATTTGTTCAAAACTTACCAGGCCAAAGTATGTCTCCTGCTTATGACTGGCAGGCCTGGGGATAATTTTTAAATCGAGCACACTCAATTTGACATCTAACGTGGTATGACTTCCCTTCAGTGAAGTCTTGTTTGGGGGAGGGCAGTGTCTTCTTATTCCAACCAATATTTGGGGAACTTTTTTGGAGGAAACTTTTTCCGTCTTCTAAGTATTTTCTCTGATGGGAAATCTTTAGTCTTCATCTTTATCATTTCAGGGTGGATCTGACACGTGGGAAAAGTGACACGCCGCTCACAGTCAAGTCTGCAGAGTGGGGTTAAGGTCCCAGCAGGGCCCTGACCCTGCGCGGGGCATTTCACCTGGTTGAAACTCAGGTGGGAGACCATAATGAGCCTGGTGTATTTCCCAGGAGTGTGGTTTAGACGGAATGACAGATCTGTGAACGTGTGAAGTGCTTTCATTAAGCTCATGAGTAAGGCAGGTGGTCAGATTCGGTATTTCAGATCCAACAGGAGACTGATACTCATTGTTTACCAATTACACCACGAGGTAAGCTGCCAAAATATTCTGAGCCATGATGACGACCGCGAACTTAGTGCCTGGCATCTCCAGGTAACTACTATGAAAGGGTATAGTCAGGCAGGCAACTTAATTTTCTTTTTTCTTTTTAAATGTTTATTTTTGAGAGAGAGAGAGAGAGAGTGGGGGAGGGGTAGAGAGAGAGAGAGGGAGACACAGAATCCGAAGCAGCTCCAGGCTCCGAGCTGCCAGCACAGAGCCCGACACGGGGCTCGAACCCACGAACGTGAGATCATGGCCTGAGCTGAAGACTGATGCTCAACCGACTGAACTACGGGGCGCCCCTCTTCCTTCTCTAAGCAGGCTTCCCCAGTGTGGGGCTCGAACTCACGACCCCGGGGCTGAATCCCATCTGAATCCCATGATCTACAGGCTGAGCCAGCCAAGTACCCCGGGCAACTTAATTTTCTAGTGACTCCGGCCAGGGGGCTTCTGGGCCCTGCTCTGGTCCCAAGCGTGGTCCCAGATGCTGGTGAGGCACGCACTCCCCGTCCTCCACCCCGGAACCAGGAGCTGCACGTTGACGGGGAGGTGCGGGGAGGGCAGCAGAGCGAGCCCCGCCGCGGGCCCGTCCCCGGGTGGGGGGGGGTCCCCCTTACCTTGGGGAAGGCGTCGGGCCACACGCTGGGGGAGCCGTGGTTGAGCAGCGCCTGCACCGTGCGCTGCGGCGCGGCCTCGGGGGCGAAGGCGGCGGTCTGCAGCGCGCGGGCCAGCGGCGAGGCCCCGCCGTAGTCGAGCGCGCGCGCGTCGGCGCCGTGGCGCAGCAGGAGGCGCGCCAGGCCGGCGCGCGCGCGGCCGCAGGCCTTGTGCAGCGGGCTGCGCTCGTCCTCGTCGCGCGCGTCCGCCGCCGCCCCGCGCCGCAGCAGCAGCGCGCACAGGCGCAGGCGGCGCGCGTGCTCGTCGGGGCCGCGCGCCGCGCCGCACGCCGCGCTCAGGGCCGTCTCGCCGCGGCCGTTCCTCGCGTCCACGCGCGCGCCGCGGCCCAGGTAGAGGCGCGCGTGCTCGTCCAGGCCGCGCTCGGCCGCCACGTGCAGCGGCGTGTCCCGGCCCGCGCCGCCCGCGCGCTGCACCGAGGCGCCGTGCTCCAGCAGCGCTTGCGCGCACCTGCGGGGAGGCCAAGGCCGGTCAGGGCGGCGGGGGGCGGGGGGCGGGGGGCGGGGGGGGACGCGACCCCGACCCCGGCCGCCCCGCCCCGCCGCCGCCCCCAGCGCCCGCTGGCCTCGTGGAAAGCAAGGGCGGCCCTGCGAGAAAGGACCCGGGTTCGGCCGTAGGGTGCCCAGGCTGCGGGAGTTGAGACTGAGCCGGGGAGAAAGATGAGAAGCTGGCAGACCCGGGGTGGGGTGGGGTGGGGTGGGGTTTGAGGCCAACCGGTTACGAACGGTGGAAATCGCTAGCAACGTTTCCTAAGAATGCACGTGCAGAGTTAGAGTTTAGGAGGAACCTGGAAGTGCTTGGTGCTACTCTGGAAGGGAATGTGGTTCAAACGACAGCGCCGGAAGCACTAATTCCCTGGGCTCTTGGTCATGGCTGGCGGTCACAGAGGGCTTGGGAGGCCTGGTTCTAAGGAGGGCCCCCTAGACCGGCGGGCTCTTCCTCAGCCCGCAGGTAACTCTGCTGTAAACTGCTCCGCTTTGGTGATGGTGGGAGGCAAGACTCGCGCGGCTCCCGTAGAGGGAACCCATCCACCCTTCGGGGCCCTGACACAGACTGGCCCTGGGGTGCAGGCGTGGGTGGAACATGTCTAATGGCGGGGCTTCCTTTGTTTCCATCAGACTTGCCTTGGAGACTGTGAACCCTGGCTGTACCCGTGTGAGTACAGACCCCAGTGGTCTCCTGGGGGTTCTAGACTCCCACAGGCCGCTGGGGTCTCCCCCCCCGGGGTGAGTGTCTGCTGCTGCCTCCAGGTCCACGGACTGGGTCCCCAGAGTGTCCTGTTACCCGGGCACCACTGCCCCTCCCAGCAGAGAGGCTTCCTCGGAGCCTCCTCTGCAGCTGGGAGAACCCCAGACTCCTACCTGACGGCGGGCGGCAGGCTGATGACCAGGCAAGGCTCACGCTGGGCCTTCGACCTTCCCGCATTGTGCTGAGCCTGGTCGCTCGTGGACACCGCCAAAACACCAGCCCCACTTCCGACCCCTGCTCCCGGTCACTCCCGCACACGGCCAGTGATGTGCTTGCCGCAGCTTTGCCCCAGCGTGCCGGCCTCAGGCCAAGCCTCTGCTCCCGCTGGCCGGTCCATGCCCGTGGGTCCCTTTCTCATCACTGCTCTGCCGAGACTTGGGTCCTAGGGGACTCATCTCTGAGCCCGGCCTGCCTTCCTTCCCCGCCGAGTGGTGCCGCGCTCACTCCGTCAGCACCCTAGCTTCCTGGACCCGAGGGGACCCAAGTGGCCGTGTCTTCCACGTTGAGCCCTGCTGTCATCCACCCGCTCTCTTGCCCTATTTGGCTGCTGCGTGGGGAGACCCTGTTCTCAGATCCAGGCCCCCAGGCTGCCCGGGCCTCGGGGAGCTGTGGTCGCCAACAGTTCAGTGTTGGAGGCGCGGTTCTCCTCTCCTCCCCGGCCGCCATCGAGCCCCGCTTCGCCCAGAGCGCGAGCTCTCTCAGGAGCAGCCACCCGTCCTGCCTTCGGCCCGTGAGTCCACCGTGACAGCCATTTACTAGAATCTGTTTCTGCAACGGTCTTTCTGTCCTGCTGTGTGTCCTGGGAAGGGGGTCCCTCTCCGTCATCCGGCCCCGGGTGCCGTTCTCTTCTGCCTCCGTCCGGGTCTTGCTCTGTAAGTGACTTGTGCTTTGCCGTTTCCTTGTCGCCCAGCTGCCCCGCGTTTCCACGGGTCACTCGGCCCCACAGGCTTGACTTCTTTCATCGTCCCGGGCACTGTTTCCTCCCTCCATCCCCAATCTCGCTGCCCTTTGTGGAGGACCATAGCGTTTCTTGCCTGAGCCTTCACCTCAGACTCTAAGTTTGCCCCTTGCTCCAGCCTAACTACCCAGAAAGAGCCTTTCCGGTGCGAGCCGGGTGATATGTGCCTGCTGAGAACCCGATGGCCTCCTCCCAGTGCCTGCTGCACACAGCTCAGGCTCCTCTGTCCCCGACACAGGACGCGGCCTCGCCCAGCTCCCTCCCGTGGACCTCACCAGCTGTTCTTCCCGGTGCTCCATCCTGTCCCGACCACACACCTGCTGTGCCATGTCCCCATGCCTTTTGCACCCGCCCCTCCTTGCTGGGATGCTTGCCTGCCCGGATGGCCCACACCCCCCTCTCTTCCCCTCCTCTTCCTCTCCGACACCTTCCCAGCACTGCCAGCAGAGGTTCATACCCCTGTGTTGTCATTTAGCTTGGGGCAGGGCGTGTATCACACCACGTTTCCAGGGTTCGTTAGCATGTTTGACTCCTCTCTAGAGACTGTCGGCTCCTTGAGTGTGGAAATGGGGTATTTGTCTCCGCTCTTCGGTGCCTCTTGCAGACCTAGCCCGCGATGGGTATTCCCTAAAAGCACCTTGAACTGACGCATCTCATTAATGAACATCTTTCAGCTTTCCTTCAAGTCGCTGCTCTCTTTCCCGTGATTCACCTGGCTGGGGCTCCGAAACGAGATCATCTGTCGAGGGTTTCCCAGGCTGGAAGCGGCTGCCCTTAAATCCGTTTGTATTTCTGCCCCGGGACTCTCAGCATTTCTAATTCCTTCTATTTCTCCAGTCTCCGTATCAGCAGTTACCTTGAGAGGTGGCCTGTCTTGGGTGAAAAATCTTTACAAACAAGTACAGTTTGATGTGAAATGTCCCTGGGGACAATAGCCAGCTAAGAGAGGATGCAAATTTTACAATCAGAGTGCTTCAGATTTGCTTCCTCTCTGCCACTCTGGGAGGCATCTTGAACGGTGCAGCAGGAGGTTAGGAATCAAGGGTTCCGTCTCATTTTGCCGCCGAGCCTGTGCGCTCCCAAACAATCGCAGAAGCATTTCCTTCTACTGTTGTCGTTGTTGTTTTTAAAGCAGCCCAGCCTCTTCAAAGCAGTCCACTGGGAAATGACAACCAGGCCTCTCTTCCCCGTCCAGAGCCTAACTGGCTGCTGGCCAAGGTGCTATTTGCAACGAAGATCCCTTTCAGAAGAACGAGGGCGCCGGCCCACCCTCTGGAGGGCTGTGGGTGCTCTTTTCATTTTTAATGAAGAGCCTCTAATTGGCTAAATCTGGGCACTTGCTCCAAGCAGGTAGCGTCGTAGGCTGCAGACCAACAGGCACGAGAGAAAACAACACAAACAATTGATGGAGGCACATCTCACTGGGCGGTCATCAGAAATGAAGGTGTGGGAGCCTGTGCAGTGACATGGAAAGCCATTCGCGGTGGTTATGCGAAAAGATTGGGTTACAAGACGGCACAGAACAGGCTTGTTTCTTAAAAAACCAGAGACGTACAGGCATCGAGAGATGCCTAGAAATGTATAGGGCAGTGTGTGTTTACCTATGGATGATGGTGCGAGGGACACTCTCATTTCCTTTCGGCCTGCTCGTATTTTCAAAATTTCCGTAATGAATCAGAGCTACAGTTCGAAAGAGGAACAACGGCGGTTGAGGACAACAGACCCATCCCCCACCGGCCACAACAGCAGTTCGTGGAGGGTCCAAATGGCTAGCTTTCCGGGTGCCCAATGCGCTCACATTTCCCATTGGCCCGTCCGGGTACAAGCAGCGACCTCAGGAAGTATGGCTGGAGAACCTCGGAGAAGGCGGGTCTGAAGGAGGGACAGCAGGGGTAAGAAGCGTGATGAGTGACAGCGGTCTTGGGGACCTGCTAGGCCTGACCTCGCGTGCGTCCGTGTCATTAGTGAAGAAGAAATGGCTTATGAGGACAGCACCACCCGAGCTTGTACGCCTGTGTGGGGGGCCCGGCTTCGGCTTCGGCCTTTCCTCTGAGGGCAGATCTGGTGAGCAGGTCCCTCGCTGTCTTGACGGGAGAGTCACAAAGGCCTGGGGCCGGTGGAGAATGGCCTCCTATCAGGACCATGGGTACATTCCCATCTAGGCATGCTACAATGACTTGTCTCTGTCCTCCAGGGATTGGGGAGACACGGCGCTGTCCGAACAGCCTCTGATACACAGCGGCTCGGGCACACGCTAACACCCCCCAACCCTCGTCGCCATCTTTGATGATGATCGTAGTGACAGGCTGTTACAGGGGCCTCAGGTTGACAGTACACAGAAAAAGAAGCTTGAGCCACGAGGCAGGAGTTAATAAAGACGAGCCCATCAAGGGCTGTTGAATTAACGTCATTTTAACTTATTTCTAAGTGGGGAAGCAGGATTCTGAGCCCACATCCGACACATGGCTCCCATCCACCTTCCAGCATCTTCTGGAGGCACTGCCTGGGAATCTCCCAGGTGCGGAAGTCCACGTGGATACTTCAGCCTGGGCTTTTCTGCTGTTTGCTTGCTCTCTTCCCCTTTGACACCACTTGCCAAGCCTCCCTGCATCTCATGAGGCTGGGCCTGCTCAACGCTTGTCTCATCTGTCCCCCTTCCTCCCCATTGCCTGTTTTTTGTTTTTTTTTTTAAAGTTTATTTATTCTTGAGAGAGCAAGTGAGGAAGCGTGTGCAAGAACAACTGTGGGAGGGTCAGAGAGAGAAGGAGAGAGAGAGAATCCCAAGCAGGCTCTGCACTGTCAGCGCAGACCCCACCTTGGGGCTCAAACTCGTGAACCATGAGATCGTGACCTGAGCCGAAAATCAAGAGTCGGACGCTTAACCGACTGAGCCACCCAGGTTCCCTCCCCCCCCCCCGCATTACTTGGTTTATACAAAGCCTTCAAAAGAGGTATTTCACAGCCTCTGGATCTGAGCTGAGAGGTCTCTAGCACTTGATCTTTTAAGTTATTTTGAAAAAAGGTTATCTGTAGTTTTTGTGACAAATCTGCATGGTAGGTGGAATTTGCAGGTGGGAAACTTGAGGCTTAAAAGACCGGTGACTTGCAGAAGGGCCGTGCAGGCAGGAAGCGGCAAAGTGGAGATCTCCGATACTCTGGCTTCAGAGCTCTCGGTCAGGCCACCTGCCTGCTGTGTCATTTGTGAAGCTCTCTCTGTGAGCCAGGCACCGTGCTAGGCATTTTC